AGGGTACATGTAATTTATTAAGAAGGTGCCTGGGTACTTATCTACAACCGCTCTGCTGAAGGAGCAGATAGATTGAGATAAGGGAAATGAAGAGCTCTCTAGGTGTGTTGGCAAAAAAAAATGCTCATTGAAGGTTGAATTAAACACTTCAGGGCATGCAAGGCTTAAAGATAAGCGAAGAACTTTGGCTGTGGACATACAGAATAGTGTTTTCATGGCTCCTCCTGTGCTAATGGCAAGAGAAAGCAAATTGGTTTGAAAAAAAAAAATAATGTATCTTTGACCCTTTCCCTTGGGTCAAGCTTAATCAGCTCCTGTTCTGGGGATGAGTTTTTTTGTAAACCTGGGTGCTTCATGAATTCTTCAGTGATAGAAAAAAAAAAAAAAAAAAAAAAAAAAAAAACAGGTCAGTGTCAATGCATCCAGAAAGTGTTGGTGTTTAAGAAATTTGAAGATGATGACTGGTTAGACTACAATATTCACCACTTAGCCCATTTCTTGACACAACATTTTCAAAATCACCACTATGTGGAAAACACTTCAGAAACGAACTGCAGGAGAGTGGAAAATACAAAAGACGGATTTGATCATTGGAAACAATGAGGAGAATCAACAAAGAGAGCTACCAGAATGTTGAGTAACACTGAAATGAGATTCTGATCTTCATAGGCTTTCCCAGTCTTTTCTAAAGGTTTTGGTGGGTTTGGTTTTTTTTCAGTGGTGGTGGTGGATTTTTGTTTGTTTTTTTTTGTTTGGTGTGGGTGGAGTGGAAAGTTCATAAGGTTCATATCTCATGATCAATAAAAATGACAGGAAGCTGAAAGAATGTGGTTCTCCTAACAGTGAATTGACCATAGAGAGGGAGAAAGTGTTTACATTGGTAGCAAAGCAGAGACCAAAAGAGGGTGCTCCGACTGATGTTATCATACTCCAGAGTCTGCAAGTGAGCTAGGACGAGGACTGTGCTTAGCTGTGTTTAATAGCAGAGACACTGTACATGGAGGGATGTTGAGATTCTACCCTGTATCTTCAGCTGGAAATGAAGTGACTATACACTCCTCCATAAAATGCCAAATTTACATTTCACTGTCTCAGTGCCTGATGACGCCTTGAGAACAAGACTCTTGCTGGAGATTGTCTTTTGCAGATTAAACTTTCCAGACTGTAACACAGATCAAAGCAAGGTGTGACTGTTTCCCTACTGTATTGAGAAGGGAGCAGTGTGAAAAGCAATTAAAAGTATTTCTACATGTTTTTATTTTTTTTATCTTAGATGATCTTCCCAGCAACGGAAACGAATAGTTGAGGACACCAACCTATAAACTCCTCTTCCTATGTCTAATATTTTCACTGTACCACTGCAGTAACTTCCAAAAACGTAGAGAGAGGCATGAGTTTGGATGTTCACATAATTTAAGTTTAATTGTAAACCTAAAGTTTCATTCAGGTCCTGTCAAAATAGCTGAAGAATGTCCTCCTGGCTTCGCAACATGATGTATGGAGCCAACAACAGGTTGATTCTATCTCAGTGGATATTTTGTCTTTGTTAGGAACTGAATGAGGCACTTATGAAAGCTTTGGGAAGGGTATTGGTGACTTTGGTTGATGTGGGAACAAGCTCTATAGATATTTTAACCAAAATTAACCTTAGGCGCTGGAAGCAGCCATCCTAGACTCTCTCCACAGTCAGTGGAGGAACTACTCTCTGAAGGATGAATCAGAGCAACTAAGTTTGTGCTCTTCTCTGGAGACTGGAAGCTTCACTGTAAACATCATTTTCTCTCCAATGTTTATAGAGATAAGGAACATGTAGCTTTTGAGTCTACAGTGTCTAAATTTAGCTTCTGGAAATACCTCTTATCTCCCAGGTGTTTGGGGACTGAATGGGCTTTGAGTTGGAGATGTAGCACCCTAAGACTCCATAGGCTCAACAAGGCCACAGAGGGATCACACCAAGCAAATACTCTGAAGCCTGAAACAATATTTTAGAAAGTGCCTTTAGTCCAGGAACTGTGATCCAGTGTTTCATATATAGTTTAACAGTGAACTGAAAATGTACACAGCAAAGTCAAAGTGAAAACACCTGACACGGGCTCCACTTCACTGGTGTTTTTTGGCCACTAGCTGTTCCCTGAATTAATCAAAAGCTCCCCCATCAAGCCACAAAGATGTGAAAAACAAGGTAGCTGGCTCCTTTCCTTGACTGCTCTTGAGCACTCCTGCAACTTGTCTCTGTCCTACAGCTTAGCTCTTTGCGTAGACTTCAACACAGCTCTTAGGTTTCCTGGGCTGGACTTTTTCAAGGAACTTAGCCATCCCATATGTTAGCTATCATGATTCATCTGGAGACTCTTACAGTGCAGACATATCCCACTCAGCCAGTCACCCGGGTGTCTTGATAGCCTAGTCAACACAGTCAATGGAGGCAAAGTCATGATTCACCTAACCAGACATCTATAATGGGGCAGATGAATCGTACCCTAGAAGTGCCGGTTTCCTTCCACTAACTGATTACTAAAGCAGCCTGGGGTGTGTAGATAGATGGAGATGTCCATGTTGAGACATAAAAAGGTAGGTGAGATGAACACTATTCCTAGTCCACGTAAGCTGCTTGCCTTACTCTTTTAATTTGCTGAAAAGAGACAGGGACTTCTGGAGGGCAGTTCATACTTGTCTCACACTCCTTTCTTGGGTTAGGAAGAACTGTCTTTTAATGTTAGTTGAAATTAATCCTCTCCTAGTAATGCAGCTGAGGTGGAAAGAGGCACCTAAGTTTAGGAAATCAGTTGAAAACCCTTTACTTTCTCAGGCACCTTCTACCTTGTCCATCTAAATTTAATTTACTGGGCAACATCTTGGAGGCCACCATCTTGGCTGAGCTGATTATCTTAGTGCCAGTGTTCTACCTAGGGAAATCTGGGTTTGAGAAATGAATGTCATGACATAGGGATGTCTCATCTGCCTGGAAAGGACAAATTTCTAAAGCATAGCCTATTCACTCTTAGTAAAGCTGCTGAGTTGAGCCTAAAATACCTTGCTACCTGATGATCTGAATGTCCACCTCCTTTTCATCTCTGTCCTCTCTTCACTGGGTACCCACCAGGAAGGCATATTACTGACTGCAAATACTCTTCTCCCATAAAAATGACAGACAATGTCAAACAATTTTTATCCTAGTCTGGAAAAGTGATAATGTCAAGCTAATTTTCTTGTGAACCCAAACCCCAGAATGAAATATTTTTTGTAATATATTATTTTATTTTATTTTATTTTATTTTATTTTATTTTATTTTATTTTATTTTATTTTATTTTATTTTATTTTATTTTATTTAGAGCAACAGAGAGTGGAGACATACTCCCCGACTGCTTGTTGATAATACAAACACACCAGGCAGTTCCCAAATGAAAACCACACAGCAAAAATGAATGTAAACAGAAATATACACTGCCCAGGCAGGTTTCTGTTTGTCATTAATTCCAAGCAGAAAAGTCAATCAAGAGATTTAATTAGAAGAAAAGGAAATTATATTCTAAAAATCCCTTCACTTTTAGTAATCAAGGTTATTATTAGAAGCACCAGTAAAAACACTTTAAAAATCTATCTAATTAGCTACATATCTGCTGATCTCTCTGCATAGCTGACTTGTTTGTCTCGAAGGCTTCAACCAACAAAATGGTTCATGGACACTCCTTTCAGCAGGCTTCCATTTGGCTCAGCACAGAAGTTGCACTCAAGTTGTTGTTGTGGTTGTTGTTTTTAATTTTCATTTTAATCTCCACATTTTAACCAAAGCAATTCACAGACTGATGGTCAAAGTAGGCTCTCCATATCCCTGTGTCAGTACAGCAAAGCTGGCATTGTTTTGTGAACATATAACCCTGCTTTTGAAGTTTCCCAGATTAAAATTAGTGTGAGAGTAAAGTGAAAACCTGCTAAACTAATATCCAGAAGGACACTGGCTGTCATTTTAATAATTTATTTTTTAAACACTTCAAACTGATTAGAAAGCCCCAGCATAAAGTTTTGCAAAGCGCATGCCTGAATTAAACAGGTGTTACTGGAAATACTTTACTAAGGAGCACAAAATCTTTCCGAGACCACATTTTCAGGGAGGTTACCAATATGCCAGCCATAGCTCCAAACTTGCATGCACCCTTGCATGAACGTCTCTACTGACATGAGACCCTTTTTTCACACAGGGGAATAGCTTTGATATTGGACACTTATTAAACCATGGGAGTGTTTTTTCTCAGCTTACCTTCTTTCCATTGGGACTACATTTCCATTCCCATTTCTCTACAGCACAGGAAATTTAGCTCCTTATGAAAGTGTCATGGTGTAGTGAATTTATGTAGCGTTCCTATGGCATTTAGCTCAGAGTCAGGTTTTTAGTTTTCATGGTCCAATCTGCTCAAATTTTTACATTGAGTTTCAGTGCACACAAGCTACCTGATAAGGTTCAAACATACAAGGCACACTGATGAACTGTGTGATGATCAACAATTTTTCGTGTTTCCCTTCCAAAGACTTGGAGCATGGTGTCTTCTACAGTATTACCCTGTGTAGCTCTGAAAGCTGCTTTTGACTCTCTAATCCCTGGGCTTCTGCAGCTGACAAAATTTCCTGTAAAACCCACCTGCTTTTGTAGCAGGTATGTGTGGTTCTCAAAGAAAGAAATATGGTTTGATCTGCTGGTTGCAAAGGAAACTAACTGTATGAGATGAGAAACTTTGGGAAGAAGCTCAATGATAACTTTGAGAGGATGAAGGAAAGGGAAGGAAGACATTAAAGGTAGAGTTTCTTGCCCTGTTGGACCTGTAGAGAACCTCAGCAGAGAGATTATGTTGTTTTGGAGAGATGACAGTGTAAAGGAGGACTTCTGGAGAGGGGAATGCACAGAGGAACTGAAAATGTTGGTTTTCTCTTTCCATTCTTGGATTCAGGTAAAAAGGTGAAAGCCAGCCTGACAGCATCTCTTTTTCCTTGTGCTTTTTCCAGGTCTTTGGCAATTGGTCACCAGTATTCCTCCCTGGGGACTCAGCCCATCCTCTGCGGGAGCATCCCAGGATTGGTCCCCAAGCAGCTACGCTTCTGTCGGAACTATGTGGAGATCATGCCCAGCGTAGCAGAAGGGGTGAAGATTGGGATCCAGGAGTGCCAGCACCAATTTCGAGGGAGGAGGTGGAACTGCACAACTGTCAACGACAGCCTAGCCATCTTCGGGCCCGTGCTAGATAAAGGTGAGCCTGGTGCTATGGATTTGGTGACAGCAGTGTCCATGGTGGAGTAGCAGCAAAGATTTTGAGAAACCTGCTGTGAACTTGTATATGTGTGATAAGTTTCTACATAAAACACATGCCTGAATGCCTGTCCTTTTCTAACCTCATGGCACTTCATGCCACATTCTCATCTCTTCCAGTGGTAGAGGGGAAATAATGGGCATGGCAGCGTCTGAACTCAGTCCCTTTGGGGATGGTTCCTAGGGGTTGAACTTATCAGACACTTCAGTGTTGGTGCTGTAGTGGGATACAAAGAAGTTCAAAGGCCTGCAGAAATCTTATTGCTAATGTTTCTGCTTTCATTGGTTTTGAACATGGCAAATTAAGACAGTGCAGTCATTCAGGCAGCTAATTCTGACCCAGCTCCCCCTGATATAAGCTCCAGCTGATGTAAGTGGGAACTATTAGAAATATTTTGTCCTAACTTGCTGAATTGCTGGGTCAGGCTCTGCCTCTCCCTTGAGCACAAAGGAGTTTGTCCACAAGGCAGACTTGTTTTGCATTTGGGTCCTGCTGAGATGGTAAATCCAGTTGCCCTGTGCAGAGCTACGGAGGAATAGGAGAGCACCAGAACAGGAATGGAAAACCTTCCTTCTTTTTTTTTTCTTCTTCTTTTTTTTTTTTTTACCCTTTTCCTCTCTTCTTTTGGTTTAGCAAAAGGGAAACAGTTATATATTCCTGATAGTCTGGCAGCTGGAATTGCTTTCTCTGGAACAACGGGCAGCACTATTTGATTTTGTATAAGGAGAGGAGAGAGCAGTCTGGGATATGTTTCAGGGAACCCTTCTGATCCAGTGTATGTAGCTCTCCATTTAAGGGCACATCCTTCCAGGACTTGATGTCAGTAGAGAGGGGATTTTATGGGTTTTCATTTGTTTTTCCCCTGATGTGTGACTCAGAAGAGGCTCGGGCATTTCTTCCTGCGTGGATTTTTAAAAATATGTCAGAGAGCACGGCGGCAGCCAGCAGAGAACAAAGCCTTGATTTGTATCATGGCCTCCACCAGCCAGAACAGGCATCTCACACGCACCCAGCAGAGGTGATTTCAGCCCTGGGTGGGTACCGTTACCCCACTAGGAGCTGAGGCTCCGCGCTTACGCTGGTGTCACCATCCAGGTTTATCAGGGAGAGATCATCCCGAAACAATTACACCTGTAAGAGCCGCAGTGTGCTGCACTTACAGCCTATATCAAGGTGTCATATCACAATGTTTGGCATGTAATTAAAGCGCTTATTCTGGGTGCATCACTCCTGGGTGACTATAGCGTTTGAATTAGGCCAGCACAGCAAAACATTTTTCCCATCGGCAACTTGCCCAAGGTAACTTGCCCAAGAGCAGCCACTGGGCACAGGGAGTAGGTAAACCAGATAAATCAATGCCTTTGCTTTGTCACAAGGCTGGATCTCCTTCAAGGACACGTGGATCTCCTTGCACTCCCAGAAGCTCTTGGATTAGATACTTGGTGTCTCCTGTAGCAATGACAGCAGGAGGAAAGAGATCTTGACCTCCTGGCTGACCAAAGGGGCCCCAATCCTACAAGCGTTATCTCATAACCATGTCAACATGAAGGGTCGGTCCCTGCTTGAGACTGCAGGCTTTCAGTAGCCAGGCTCAAAGAGGGAGAGAAGGCTGGGACGATTTCATAACTGAAGAATGTTGTTCCTTGAGGGAGAATCAAACCACCCTTCAGTTTTGCTTCACCTACAGCAGGAGGGGGGAGAAAAAACAGCTCAGTCACATTCTTGTGCGGCAGATCCCCCAGGGTAGGAACATATTTGAGCTCCTACCCAGAAAGAAAGAAGGAGAGAAAAGAAAAAGAAAAAGAGAAAGAGAGAGAGAGCAAGAGAAAGAAGGAGAGAGAAAGAGAAAGAGGGGAAGAGACAGAGAGAAAGACAGAATGAAAGAGAGAAAGAGACAGAGAGAGAGAAAGGGAGAAAGAGAAAGAGAGAGAGAGAGAGAAAGAGAGAGAAAAAAAGAGTGAGAGAAAGAAAGAGAGAGAGAGAAGAGAAAGAAAGAAAGAAAGAAAGAAAGAAAGAAAGAAAGAAAGAAAGAAAGAAAGAAAGAAAGAAAGAAAGAAAGAAAGAAAGAAAGAAAGAAAGAAAGAAAGAAAGAAAGAAAGAAAGAAAGAAAGAAAGAAAGAGGAAAAACTCTGTATTGTGTCCTGAATTTTAAGTCACCCAAGATCCAACTTCAGCTTCCCATCTCTGTCAATAGAGGCCCTGTCTTCCCTCAGCACACACCAGTGTAGTCACTAAAGCAATTCCCTTTTGCCTTGCACGACTATCTGGACTTCTTTGATTGAAAAGGATTGATTTTAATGCCTTCAGGAAATACTTCCTAGGCCCAAATCTCTCTGAGGCTGCCTCACTGTCTGGGCTGCCCGTGCTGCTTTGGCATCTCATTGCTAATTCAGGGCTAGGCTCAGGCTGTGATTCAGCTGTGCCAAGCTGTCACCAGACCAGGCCCCTTAAGAGACATATTCTGATATCTCATCTGGAACCAAACTCTTTTCCCCACAGGCCCTATCTGTGGGAAGAAATCCCATCTGTTTCAGCTACAACTATGTATACATATATATATTATATAGATAGTATATATATATCTTACAGTATATATATATAGTAGTATATATAGTACATATATATACTATATATAGTGTATATATATGAGTCTTCCTTGTAAAATGCTATGAGATAGGTGTCTCAGGTATCCTGAGTTGTTGGGAATTCAAAGACCAGGATGTTCTTACAGGAAGAGAAATGAGCCTGATCTCCTTCCTCCTACCTAAGCCAATCTATCAATCATACATAAGGGGCCACAGTTCACGTTGCTTTTGGTCTCCCAGAAGTTCAAATCTCAGCTACTGTGGAGAGAAAAGCACTTGAAATTTTCTAACAGAATGAATTTTAGAGGAAAAAATATGTTCTTATTTGTTTCTTTGGGGCTCATAATGTTTTTTTCACCTGTATTGTGTGAGGCAGTGGAGCAGAGTGTGGGTATAATCATGCGATATTAAGAGATCATGTTAGCCACAGCTCTTGCCCAGCTGCTTACCTGAGAGGTGTGGCTGCTTGTAAGGCAGTTTCCATATCCTTCAGTTGCCTAAAGATCAACGAAAGATTTTAAAGTTGTCTTTAAAAATATACAGGATAAGATTCTGGAGGATGTAGTAGAGGGACGTGCCTTCACCAACAACAGAAAGTGAACTGCGTAACCCAGGAGTTCTCCATCTCAGAGTTAAGTGGCTATTAGTAGTTGTGTCATTTGCCACATTTTTAACATTTATGGACTAAAGACAAGTTGTGGTGCATTTTCTAGCCTCTCAGCACAGTGCAAGCTCTCTTTGAAACTCCTCTAGGCAGAAATATGAACCAATCTCAAGAGAGCTAACACAATAAAAGCTTATCATGGCCCTGTCTCTTTAAAGGACCTCGGCACATAATTAAGTCAAAATAAAAGTTTCCTCCCTCTCCTCCTCCTTTCAATAAAAGTAAATTGCCTCAAACTATTTAAGCCCCCCAGTTCGTTTAAATTTAAAAAGGGAGCCCTTGTCTATCTATTTCTTTCACTCACTCCCACCTCCTTCTGCTAAAGACTGGCTGGGGCTCTAAACCTGCCAGCTGGGCTGAGAAATGGTTAATCGTCGTTGTGGAGGAGCAGCTTTTAATGAACTATTGAAGAATGATACATTGATGGAGTAATGGGAGTTTAAGTCGCTCTGTAATGAAACAGGTTCTCAGCGCGGACCCATTGTGGTGTAAATACGGCACGTCTCTCCCACTGTTTGGTCAGGGCTAAATAGCAGAGGCCAGAGGGGGGTCAGCTTATGGGGTCTCCGCTTTAGTTAATCAATCTGATTGGATTAGGGTCACTGCGATCCCTAATAATGTCAAAGGTTACGCCAAACTGGATTAAATGCTTTGTTGGGGAGGGCTCGGATTCTTTCAGCTTTCACCGACGGGGCTTGTTTATTAGAGTTTAACACTCGTGCAACCTTTGGAAGCCACTCCGTCCCTTTTTTCATACGTCGGGGCGTTTGCCGGCATGCAAGGGGGCTTGGACGAGCCAGGGCGGGTGGCTTTGTCAAGCGTCTGCACCCGTCGGATGTGCCCTCTGAGGACATATATCAAATTCCCCACTGGACAAATGAGAGTCTAATGGGTGATGCAGAGGCTCAGGGACATAAATTAATTCTGGAAATAATTGTTGGCCATTGATCATGCTAGAATGGAAAAGACCAGAGACACAGAAGTGGTGGAGTGCCCAGGTTCATGCCCTCCTGGCATAGCCCCCTTCCTGCCAAGCAGAGACAGCCTTTTTGGTACATCTCCTGCCTGAGCAGTTACCAGGGTGGGTATGGCATGAAATACAGTGGATTTGAGACCACAGAATTGCTTTGGCTGGGTAGATGTCTTGCCTTCCAGCACAAATCAAGGTGGGATGAGATGTCATCCATCACAAATCAAGGTGGGATGAGATGTCATCCACGGTGATCATGAATCCTAAAGAATTGCTGTTATATCCACTCCTGATGTCACTGCAGAGGACACAGACTGTAGATACAGCAGAGTGTCCTTCAGAAAATGATGGCAAATCAGTTTCCTTGGAGGACATCTTGCAAAGGAACGGGCAGCAATAATAGTGTGTGATTGATACAGATATGAAATCACTGGATCCCAAATGCCTCTACCCTCCTCCCATTTCCCTCCTTCCCTTAGTAGCATGTTCACTGCATGTTTAAGACCTGTCAGGACTGTCAGACTATCCAAATTTCTTTCAAGATGCAGACTGGAGTATTTCACCTCAAGACTTCTGGAACGAAACCAAAATCTGAATTTGACTAGGACATCTCTTCCCAAAAGTTGTCTTGTCTTGACATACCACCAAGAGATAGAGGATCTAGCACTCCTTTTAGTAGTTTCCTCATTTCATGTGCAGCACTGCTCTGGCCTTGACAACC